GGCCCCCTTATCCAGTGTGTTATTCGCATACCAAACAGGGAGAAAGAGGAATATAAACCAGAGTGTTTCTGCTCCATAAGAGAAATGCTAATTATTTAGATCCTACACTAAACTTCTGAAAAAAGATAACACAATGAACAGAAGAAAAGTAGGGTAGTAAGAGAAGTTACCCCAGGAAGTTGGCCAGCAAGAACGCCCAAAAACCCTGTTGTGCCTACCACTGTAAATAGAAAAGCTGCCTGTATTACTGAAAGAAATCAGTATCAAACAACTTTAAAAACTGAGTCCAAACAGTCAAAAAAAAAAAAAAAGACCACATTAATCATCTATTATTAAACTCCGTAAATGTAAGATCAACGCCTCAAAGGAAAGTGTATCTAGGACCTGCTAGTTTACATTCATAGAACCACTTTTTTGTTTCAAGTAACAGCAATTAAGAGTCATGAAATGTGTTTGAAGGGGGTGGAAAAGAAATGTAATAAATTGTAGTCAGAAATTCAATTATGATCTGACATACGTCAATGTTCCACTGTATGAATAAGATCAAACAATATGCATGCCAATAATTAACCCCTTCAATATGAAGGTCTAAGTCTTTTAAGAAACTTATGCAAGTTATTCGAGATATAACACTTGGAGACTATTGTCATCCAAGATTGAATATCATTCATTGGGTTCATCATGTCCCAACTTTGGCTCAAATGTTCCCCTTAACTACCCTTGCAAACGTATAGTTTGCTGAAGCAGTTACTAAACAGTAGAAAAACTCCCAGAATATGGAATTTATCCAAATTGAGAGCTGGTTTTGATTCTGGTGCTACTGCCATCAATGCAATAACAACAAAAATTCCATCAAGAAACTTACATCATTTCTGACACTTGGGATTGCAAGGTTCTCAGCATTCTTTATTCCGAGAATTGTCAGCTCTCTAAGAGATGTCTGCAAGAGAAATTTTTAAGACAATTACAGAGAATTGTAGGCAAAATGTGTGCAAAATAAAGACAATAATAAATTTCTTAGGGACATAAATGTTTAGACTATAGGAGGCTAATATCTCGATACCTCCTCCTAAAAACTTCACATTTTAAATGAAGACTGACCGTGCGACGTGACACATATGGTTGAGAACTCCACTTTCTGGCCCAACCAACTTCAACTAGCTGATCAAGTGCCTCTTTGACAGCATTACTATCTTTCTGTAATGAAGAAAATAGGATAAACAGTTCAGATTGAAGAAACTATGATAAGAAAAAAAATTAATGCAGGAAAAGATGACCAGACCACAGCTTTAGAATACACACTTTCTCCTCAGTTTTATGTGTACTAGTATGTTATCAGTGCCAAAGAGAAAAAACTCGTAAAAAGCCAACATGCGAGAGGCTATCTATTTATCGTTCACTCTTTAATATTGCATGTACACATTTCCAGATCTGTACATGAAAGTTTCTCATCTAATGTTAGTCACTATGTCCTTTAAGATGAGAACAAAACAGAAAATCTGTAGCAACTCAGACTATGACTGCTCACAAAACACAATTTCCACTTGCTTAAATGAAATCAAAAGAATCCCCAGTAACGTTGCATAAATTATAAATAAGGAAACAAACAGTAAAATCAAATATTTAGCCCCTAAACATCTTCCCACACGCTAAAGAAACAATCACAATAATGATTGCCAAAATGTTCCAGTGGCATTTACTATTAGTATCAAGTGCCAACATTAAATTGATCAAAAAATCAACATAACCTAGGGACATTAGAAGCTTCTTAGTTCTGTTATAACTCGGTCTCTTTCATTGTCATATTTAACTAGATATGGAGTTCAAGATATTAATTTGATTTGTGTATTATATATTTATAATAGCAGTACTAAAGTGAAATTATTATGGTGACTAAATAATTTAATTCCATATAGGGAAAACATCATATCCAAAAAATTTGAATTTTAACATTTGAATTGTACAGCATATAACTGCTATATTATTAGTGAAATGATGTTAAACGATTGAAATGTCTCAAAAGATTTCTAGTATAAAACGAAATAAATGGAGTAAGAAAATAGCAAGGAACTAATTAAAGCCCATGACAGAAGAATGAAGCTTAATTAGGGAAATGAACCTTAGAAATGGCGGTTTGGAGGGTGGACAAATCAACACCAGGAGCAGCGGCTGAGGAGGAGGAAGCTCGAATTCTAAGGCTCCATTTTCCGGGGTTTGTAGAGGAATTAAGTGGACTACTATTACTACTACTACATTGTACCAACAACTGAGGCGTCGGCGTCGTTAGAGAAGTGAAGAGAGATGCTGCAGAATTCGACATTCTTTTTCTGAGATATTCTCTCTCTTCTCTTCTCTTCTCTTTCTTCAAAACGGTTGGGAATTTTTGAGGACACCAGAAGCTGTTGATAAGGTTTGGCGTGTTGCTTAAAACGTAAGTTGTTTGGCCACCGTTGTGGGCCTCCTGTAGGGGTGCGGATGTATAAGTCACATCCTTCAAGATATAAATTTTAAGATTCAAAAATTACGGATATGGGTACGAAGATTTAGCTAAAAATAATTTAAAAAAATAAAAGTATAAAATTATATCTAAATTATAAGAAATTTTCTGAAATATTTATGTATAACTTGTAAAATGTGGATTTATTTTTGTTCTCAAATTGTAGATAAATAAAAGATTGATTTCCTAGATAAGATATGTTATTTTCTTCAAATTTACCCTAGTTTTGGTTCTGATTTCGGGAATTAAATTGTATCTCGTCTCGAATTTTTTCGTCCATCGTGGTTAATGTACCCAAAATTATTTGACCATATCTGGTACGGATCCCATACCCACACCCATACTAGTGTCGTGTCGATACGTGTGCGGCACCTAAACTATCATGTCGGAGCAACATAGGCTTAAACGACCGGACAAAATTTAGTATGAATAGTTGCTCTTGAGCTTTTAATTTTTCTTTAATTTTTTATTAAAAAATAGCATGTAGGGGTGTACATGAACCCGATTAGTTTAATTTTTATAAAATTCAAACCAAACCAACTATATCGGTTTGGACTCGTTTGGTTTTGTTGGCTTTTTCGGGGGGGAGGGTTTGTTACATGAATATTATTTCAATTTTACTTTGTTAAAGTTATAGATAAAGTTTTGATAAGTGAATATATATTTAATAAAAATTAAAAAAAATGACAAACATATGATCTATTAAAATATTCTTATGGGAGAATCGTTTTAGTAACACGTGATTAGTTATGTTCTTAGTCATCTAACAATAACTTTTCGTTGATTTACGCTTTCAAGGTTAACCGAATTTAATAATTAAACATAAAAATCAACATGAAACCTAAATAATGATATGTTCTATTTAATTTTAAAATTATCGAAATGCCATTTCAAATTCAAAAAAAGATAAAAGAATTTAACAGATCTTGAAATATGAATATGAAAGAACAAAGAGATTGACGCATTTCAATAACACTCGATGAGAAGTGATACTTATTACTTAAAGTAAATAAAAAGGGATGCACTCCATAGATCTATTAAATATTAAATCCCATGAAAGGATCCCAAATATTTCTAGACATTTTTTTAAAAAAATAAATATATAAAGTCGTAACTAAAAGTATATATAAAAATTATATATTATATGTCGGTTTGGTTCGAATTTTTTTACTCAATACCAAATCAAATCTAATCGAATTTTTTAGTCGATTTGATTTGACTTTTCGATTTGGTGCGATTTTTTGATTCAGTTTGAATATCCCTAATAACATGTTTGGTCAAGCTTCTAAAATCACTAAAAAGTACTTTAGTGAGAAGCAGTTTGTGTTTACTAATTAATTTGAAAAGTATTGTTGAACAACAATTAGTGTTTAATCAAACTTTTAAAAAGTACTTCTAAAAGTTTTATATGGTTTTTGAGAGAAACTAATTTTTTCTGCTTCTCAAAAACTTCTGCTTCTACTTTAAAACACTTTTTTTCTTCTAAAAACTTGGCCAAATACCTTTACTTTGAAAAACAAAAAGAAGCATTTTAGAAAAAGAAAAAAAAGGTTGGCCGAAGAGGCTATGAGTCACTTTGTTCATAAACTATTTCACTAGAATTTGTTTCGTCGCACTTTTACTCATCAAGATTTTTATTAAACTCCTTTATTATGGGATTAGGGAAATGGAATGAAAAATGGGCAGTGAGAATTAAATCCATACATCGTGTATGGAATTCTCTCATTAGACTATGAGAGTCTTTGATTAAGCTTATAAGGTCAAATTAATTTAGATACAACTTTTAGCTTATATATACCTTTGTTAAATATCCAAATACTTACAAACCCAAATTAGTCACAACTTAGAAGAATTTTAATTTTGATCAAGATTTTTTACTATTTATCCTTTAACATTTTTTCTAATCCTCAAAATACCAATAGTGATTAAAGAATTGATCGAGTTCACTTTGTTTTATAGCTCAGATTCCAGTGGGTCTACATTTGGCTTTTCAAGTTTTTTCTGTACTACTTGTCCCCACATATACGACCTATGAGTAGTATATTTTGCAAAGTTAATCTGATTAATTTTGATGTGATATCATGTATGTATTTGTTTATTGTTTGAAATGAAAAATAACAGTTTTAATATCATGTGAAAAATACCACCAATTATTGAATGAAACTCAAATTTGTAAATTTAGAATGTTGTTGCCAATGAAAAATTTGAATCTCGAGAAGCAAAAAAGTTTCACAATGGGAGTAGAAAATTAGTGTCCAAGTTGATGTAATCCATATTGCTCGTGTGGTGCATTTCCTCCCTTAACCAGAAGTCTCATGTTCGAACCCTGAGTAAGTAAGTATGGAAAAATCCTTGATAGGGAGCGTTTCCCTCGAATAGGACCCTACACAATGTAAATCCGAATATAATTGAGCTCTAATTCAGATACGGGACACCGGGCGAGAAGCCCAAAAAAATCCATATTGCTCGTAGTTTGCAATGTGAATTCTGACTATAAACTTAATTACAAAAGAAACTTTGTTGGATTATGGAAAACACTTATCAAGATTGTTAACAGTAAATAACCACAATCTAGCTAAAAGTAAAGTTGGATGATTTGAGAATATTTCCCTTTACAGAAAGTCATACTAGCTAGAACAAATATTTTCCTTAACTACTTCATTGCTCTACCATAGGAACATTTTGTTGATCACCACAATCTCAAAATCCACAAAATTATTTTCCTATTTCTTGGAAGAGTCCCTCAAAACACATAGGAGAAATAAAATTTCTATATTTATCATTACAAACAAGTTGGAAGAAATCAATCCCTTGAACTTCAAGCTTTTGCACTACAGCAGTTGAAATAGTTGAAGATCCTTCTCATCCTCTGTCATCGGAAGAAAGACAAATGAACACTTGCATAGTTCACTATGGTAAAAGTCAAAAGAAGAGTAGAGGCGGACCCAGGATTTAAAGGTTATAAGTTCATTTCTAGTCATTTTAAGACTACTGAGTTTTAAATTCATAATTAGGGTATAATTCTATGGATTTTTTTAAGACAATTAGAGGGTTTGGACCAAAGCTATTGAATTCGGCCGAACCCGCTACTGAAAAGCTAGCTCCGTCCCTAAAGAAGAGTAGTAGTATATGAAATTGGAGACATTGGTCTATTATACGCAGCCTTACCCTGCATTTTTGCAAGAGGTTATTTCCACGGCTCGAACCCGTACTTTACCAGTTACGCCAAGGTTTCCTCAGAGTTTCTAAAATTACTCAGACTAACAGATCAATTCTCTGTTTTTAATCAATAAACCAATTGTAAATCTCTCAAGAAATAATTTCAACAAATTATAGAAGACTACTAGGTCATTTATTCTGATACAATGCCACCTATTGGCCAGAAAGGTCAACATTTTAATATAGAAAACCAAGTATTACCCCTACATGTATCCCACTACATCTTTACCCAAACTTTTTATTTTAAAAAAAGTGTCTATTTACTTGTTTGATTCATGTATTAGAGTACCACATTACATGCCTGCAATGTTAACTAAAAACTACAAGAATTATGTCATTATTTAAGGGCTTTTTTTACTTTTAGTCCGCGCCAAAAACTATTTACAAAGTATATAAAATTTGAATAAAACATACAGAATGCATATATAAATATATATATACAAAAAATATATATTTTTCGGCTATTATTTTGAAAACGGTTATATAATGTCATTTTTCTATTATTTTAAAACAAAAATGAGATGGTAAAAATACATCCAAAAAAAAGCTAAGATAAAACAAAACAAAAGAAGGTAAGTATCTTACAGTGGGACAGCGGTTTTGATGGTAATGGTGATCATTACTGTGGGGAGAGTAACCTGAATTTACATCCTTTTTGGTATTAAAAATGAGCTCTTTCTCATTACCTAAACTGGCTCTTGACAAGTCTTTCTTGTTTTGTTTCCTATTCTCTCTTATTTTAGAGAAATCCATAGAGTAGTCTGGGAATGCACCCTTTTGGTCCCAGTTTCCAAATTGTGGCACTGATAGCCATGGTCCAGTTTTCTGCACATTAATAAAGAAGTAATCAATATATCTACAATATTCCTCGATATCTATATTTATCACTAAAAGAGGTTCAAAGATCAATTTATTTATCTAAGCTTTTCCTATAGAAATGCGTCAATAAATTTATTACTTCAAAAAGGTAAACATAACTCAAAGACAAATGTTTTGGTCAGTCAATTTGGATGACATCAACTGCTAAGGAATCACCGACAACGGTTGTTGTGAAATGGTAAGTACTGCTTCATCTTTAACTAGAGGTCTAGAGTTCGAGTTCAAAACAAAGAAAAATGGCTAATGAATCATTTTCCTTATCCACTAACCTTTGCATTTTCAAACTATTGTGGTAAGATGTAATTTGTATTTAGCTAGTTATTTTAAAAAAATATTTTTGAATAGCAATTAGTGCCTGATCAAACGTTTTTAAGTGTATTTTTCAAAACAATACTTTTTCTACTTCTAAAAATGCTTATATTTCTACTCAAAAATACTTTTTACTTCTAGAAGTTTGGCCAATCAGGCTATAAGTCATTTGTGAAAGACAAATACAAGGAAAACAAAGGACTAAGAAGAAGGAAACTGATGATTAATTAGCTTAATTCTTGAGCAAGGAATAAAAGAAGGAAATCATTTGATTAGCTCAATTCTTGAAAAGGGTATAATCTTGTGAATATATGCAAGCAGAAAAACAAGCATTGATCTCTATGAATTAACTTAAGGACACAGAAAATATTATTATGATAAAATCAGCAAGAAAATGCAAAAGAAGACAGACAGTAATATGTAGATATAAACAAAGATAGCCTCATTTTTACCTCCTTGCTATATTCCATTGCAGATTTTGAACAGTTAAAAAGAGAAAGAAACAGAGTTTGTGAAAGGGAAAGAGAGGATTTGAGAGAGAAGTTTGTATTATGAAGGACTATTTTTATAGAACAAGGAGAAGTGCTTTAATTTGCTGTATTTTTGTATTTAGATATTCTGACAAAATTGGATGTTTGTTGTCACCAAGAAAGATTCGAATATAAAGAAATGACAGGAATGCCTTTTTGCCTTTTGGTTTCCTTCTGTTGCTGCACTGGCTCTGACCTTTACAAAGCTCAATGCTAGCTGTTAGCCCTTTTGACACGTTTTCTTAAGCAAAAGAATCATGAAAATATTATACTACTTCTAAGCAGGAAGCACTATCTATTGAATTATAATATTTGAAAAATATCAACTCTAGTTCTAAATTTGGAATTTGTACATTAAATATGATTTAGCTGTCAATAAAACAAGGGAACTATAAACGATTAGTGATCGAATTTGAGCAAAGATAATTGTATTAAGGAATTTTTTTCATCGGTCTAAATTTTGATTGGTAGAATTAACAAATATTCAACTAAGGCAAAGAAAGAAAAGTTAAACTCAATTCTCTAGAAATATAAAAAACTTAAAGAGTAACAAATTATGTATGCTATCTATATAGTGGAAATGAAACTAGGTAGCTATTTTAAGTACGTAGAAGAGCCAACAATACCCCTAATATATTGAAAATGGTTTAAAATATTATCCGTTAACCTTTTAGTCTGTAAATGTCCCTAACATTTATTTTTGGGTTCAAACTTACCCATATATCTAACAGAAGGGCCAACAATATCCCTAATATATTGAAAATGACTCAAAAATACTCTTCGTTAACCTTTTGGTCCGCAAATACTCCTAAATTTATTTTTGGGCTCAAACTTACCCCTATATCTAACAGAACTAACCTAATCAATTTTTTGACTTTAACTTCGCCATGTGGCATTTTCTTAACTCGGCACGTGTCTTATTTGTATTTAAAAAAACTCACCTATATCTTTTAAAATATCCAACGACCCTGACCCGCTCCTATATATTTGGACGGTCGGCTAAAAATAATTATCTTCGCTTTAAATATAAAAAAAAATATACATTGATTATATATAAAAATATGTATTATTATACATTAATATTTTAATATATATTTTTTCATCATATTATTTTTAGGAGAAATTATACGGTGTAGTTTTTCCTATTGATTATGATCTATAACTAGAATTTATTAAGCAAATCTGACAATGGAACGACAGTTTTTGCTAAGCTCTATCGTTATATATTAAAACACTATTAATTCTCATCGAAAAGATCATGTGAAGTCCATTAATGTGCTAAGCAGCTGGATATGTATATAATTAAAGGTTTTAAATAATTTTCTTTCCATCTGGTTCTTTGCTTCTCCTTTAGAATCATATAAATAGAATATTATCATTTTTATATTTGCAAATTAAAATTTATATTTGTTAAACTTGTTAATATCTGCAAAATTTGAAGAGAAAACTACATCGTATAATTTCTCCTAAAAATAATATAATGTAAAATATATATTAAAATATTAATGTATAATATACATATTTTTATATATAATCAATATATATTTTTATATATTTAACTAGCGAATGTAATTATTTTTAGCCGACCGTCCAAATATATAGGGAGCGAGTCAGGATCGTTGGGTATTTTAAAAGATACATGTGGGTTTATTTAATACAAATAATATACGTGGCGGGTTAAGAAAATACCACACGGCGAAGTTAAAGTCAAAAAATTGACCAGGTTAGTTTTGTTAGATATAGGGGTATGTTTGAGCGCAAAAATAAACGTTGGGGGCATTTGCAGACCAAATGGTTAACGGAGGGTATTTTTGAGCTATTTTCAATACGTTAGGGGTATTGTTGGCCTTTCTGTTAGATATATGGGTAAGTTTGAGCTCAAAAACAAACGTTAGGGGCATTTGCAGACCAAAAGGTTTGCGAAGGGTATTTTTGAACCATTTTCAATACGTTAGGGGTATTGTTGGCCTTTCTGTTAGATATATGGGTAAGTTTGAGCTCAAAAACAAACGTTAGGGGCATTTGCAGACCAAAAGGTTTGCGAAGGGTATTTTTGAACCATTTTCAATACGTTAGGGGTATTGTTGACCCTTTTCCGTTTTAAGTATGCTATTTAAAAAATATTCACAATTTATAATATATTTAAAAATTAGCCAATTCGTTCAAACTTTAGGACACATCATCCTAAAGTTTAAACCTCAAAGTTCAAACTTCAGGACATCGTATTCTAAAGTTCAAAAACTGTATCCAGAAATTTGAGTCTTATGTCCTGAATTTTAAATTAGCAGTTCAAAAATTCAAGACACAAGAGTGTCCTAAATTTTAAATTAGCAATTTAGAAATTTAGGACACTTAATCCTGAATTGTAAATTAATAACTCAAAATTTTATGACACTAAGTCCTAAATTTCAAATTAGTAGCTCAAAATTCAGGATACTTATATCTTGTTTGGCCAAGCTTCTCCAAAGCCAAACACATTTATTTTCTCATAATTGAAGTGTCTTGCCAAGCTTTTAGAAGAAAAAAAAAGTACTTTTGAGTAAAAGTAGAAGCATTTTTGGAGAAGTAAAAAAATAAATAGTTTCTTCCCAAAAGCACTTTTTTGAAAAACACATTTGAGAAAAATGCACAAAAATACTTTTTTAAAGTTTGGCCAAATACTAATTGTTGCTCAGAAGTACTTTTCAAATTAATTAGCTAAACACAAACTATTTCTCATCAAAAGTACTTTTGAGAAAAAACACTTCTCAAAATAAGCTGATTTTTGAAACTTGACTAAACAGGCTATTTGTCCTGAACTTTGGGTGAAGTGGCAAATCTTAAAATACATTATAAATTATGAATATATTTTAAATAGTAGGCTTCAAAGTGGGTATTGGTGCATTTCGCCCTATGTATATAGGAAATTTTACCTCATAGAACAAATTATTACACCATATTTATTATAAACCAAAACAATTTTAAAATATTATTACTTACAGCTACCTTTTCTATTTTATAGCAAATTAGGTATTTATTTTATACCCTACCATTGAGGTATGAAATACGGCAATTATGTTCTTCTCTCTCTATCAACAAGATTCTCAATCCTCTCTCTTTTCCCTCAAACATAACATGGCCTTTTTGACATCTCGAATTCGGTTTGTTGTTAAACTTACCCAACTTCTAGACAAGAAGAAAAAGTAATATTAGCGTTGCTACTTTCGTGCTACGTTCTCAGATCAACATTCTCCATCAACTCGCATCCAGGCGGCTCGCTAACTACTGGCGAACAGATCTGGCCATGGCTACGCCGGAGAAGATTTGAGGGTCGGGTTTATGTTTGTCTCCATTTTTAGTTTTAATATAATGTCTACAATATTTTGTTTGAACGGAAAACGCCATCTCCGGCGAACTTTCTTCTCTTCTTTGCTATTTAGTCACATACAATGATACAAATACATTGTATTATATACAAATACATTCAAATTCATTGTATTTTTGTATAAATATATTATTTTTTCGACTGTATTTATGTATTCCGAAGGTTTGTATTTTTTTAATACAGCCGAATATCACTGTATTTTGTGATTTTTTATTGTTCGAATACAGTCGAATTGAATACGGTGATTTGAATACAATGTATAATGGCGAATACTTGAATATCTGTGAATTGAATACAATGTATATAATCGAATTGAATAGAACGGTATACACCATATTTCTTGATTACCTCATTATATTTATAAATACAGTCATGCGAATAAATAGAATACAACACAGTAGCAGCGAAATTTATGTAGAATTGATTTTGTTGAGTTAAATTAGGAGTGATACACATTAATTAACTGATCCTCTTTCTGTTATTAAACATCTAGACTCCCCTATTTTTTAGGCGAATTCCGCTACTGTATTCATAAATACATTATACAGTGAATACAGTCGCACAGATGGACTCCCCTATTTTTTATGCGAATTCCACTATTGTATTCAAGAAAATAGTAGTGTGAATACAACGAATACAATCGCACAGTTGGACTCCCCTGTTGTTTTAGGCGAATTCCGCTAATGTATTCATGGATAGAGTAATGCAAATATAGCAAATACAGTCGCGTACAACTAAATAGTAGCTATGTGTGGATTTCCCCACATGGGCAAGAAGAATGGAGGGAAACACTGACCAACCTGACAAGAGAGTGGATCAACTGGAAACTCTCTTGGTTAAGAGGAAGGGCGATTTTGACGACTCCCCAAAAGTACTTCATTGAATTGATCGGATTAGAACACATTCAACTATACTCACCTCTGCGGGTCCTCAGACAATTTGGAATGATCCAAGATGTGCCTCTGTGGACAAGGACGACACTATACGAGGATGACTACAATGGCCAGATTCCAATTCCCAGGATAAGGAGACTGCAAGAAGAGTGGAGTGACATGATAATAATGCCTATGGGTCAAAATTCATGGTGAACCCCCGAGTACTACTTTTGGATTAATGAAGAAGAAGAACTGGCCCGCCCAAGCAAAGAGATCCTGCCATATTATCTTGTGACCACATCAATGCATCGTCAGGTGGGCCCGGGATCAATTGACCATATGTTTCCATCGGCTGAAGAGGATGATTGGGTAGTGGAATGCATCCAAATAGAGTCAAGCAAAAAACCAGAAGAAGATCTAGAGGAAGAGTCTGAATTCAACGATGATGAGGAAGAGTTTGAGGAAGACGTAGAGGAGGATCCGGAAGAGGAGCCAGAAGAAGAGAAGGGTACAGGAAGCGACTCAGGGGCTGGTTATTAGAATTGGTTGATTTCCCATCCTTTCCCTACTTTGTGTGATGACCCGATAGGTCATCTTAGGTTTCAAAACCTAATTATGTGTTTCGAGGCCTCAAATACCTCATTTTAGCCTTTCTCGATTTGCATGCGCAGTTCGGGTGTTCTTCCGGAAGGCTTATATGTTAAAAACTGATAAAAAATAAGAATTCTGCCTTAAAAACTCATTTGAGTTGACATCGGTCAACGTTTTTGAGCAAACAAACTCGGATCCGTATTTTGACGGTCCTAGTGGGTCCGTATCGTAATTTAGGACCTGGGCATATGCC